ACAGCTAATAAATCAATAAGTGTTTTTTAATTGAAATAATTTCTAACTGTAATTTATGTTGACCTTTGTACTTTATGCCCTCCGAGTTAATATATTATCAGTTGATTGTGTAAAGTTTTCAGTTGATATTGATTCAAATGATATTGAGTTAATTTCCAGTACACATAGTTATTGAGATAAACTAAATATCAAATAAAATGACAATTTCTAAAAATTGTGGATATTTCATTTTATTATTATTTATTTTTTTTGTTTGCTTTCACGCCAGACAACAGGGTCATGACGTCTGAATTGCAAAAATACGAGCTATCCGGCGGACGAATAAAAATACGGAAAATCTTATTTTCTGTGAAGAGAAAATAGCTAAAATAAGTAAAAATACGGAAGGGTGGGTTAGCAGCTAGGATGTAGTTTGAATTTTTTGTTTATCTTTGAAAATCGTAAATAAATATGATTATTTTATTTCAACGATTGAATTTTCAAAAAAAAAAAAAAGCGGGATATTTATTAAAAAAAAACGAAACTTTTAGAGAATCGGAGTTTTTGATAAAAAAAGGCTGAAATTCGAGAGGCAAAAACGAAAAATCTCATCCCTGTATAAAGGTCAACCAGTTTTATCCCAAGGAAATGATTTTTTAGAGAAACTTCAGAGATTTTTAGAGAATGAGGACTTCAATACTTTCGCTCAGCAGAAAATTAAATTCCTCATAAAATATTTTAACTTGTTCCAAAAAAAAAATTTCTGTGGAAATTAGCTGGAAAAATCTGACTAAAAGCGGAAATCCGCGAATCTGTGGAAGAATCACATCCCTGTCGCAAGAAAACACAAAGCAAATTACTGCGGCAGCGATAAAGGCCGAAGTTGGCAATTGTCGCAAACATAGCTTAATAAAGGGGAAAAAATTTCTCCCCTTTTATATCCAGTAACTGTTTGTGTTGGAGACGGACTAGGGAGAGTAACGGAGGATCACGAGTGCTTTCCCCTTCCACGGTACGCTAGAAAAACAATTATTTAAAAACAATTCTGTAAGAAAATAATTTTGCAGAACCATTATTGCTTCTGCAGAAATTTTCTGTTTCTGTCGAAATTATTTTTTTGTAAAACAGTTTCTGTTTCTGCAGAATCTTTTTTGAGAACTTTTGTTTTTGCCAAACCCAAAAATTTTATTTCCCAAATAAGAAAATCTTTCTGCAAGAACTCAGTCCCTTTCTGCGACAATGTCGCTGTGTCGCCGTGTTTCTGCCACGGGGACAGCAGCCATCAATTCTAGTTTAGGAAGAGACAATTGTTTTAATGGAGAAATGCAACCTTTAGCTATCACTAACTGGGATGATCTAGATGTTGAACTGGCCGATATCAAATAAATTGTAGCTCCATAAGCACTTTTGCTTCCATCACAAAAGCAGTGTAATTCATCACGAGATGGATCCAAAACTCTATTTAGCCACCAAGGAACCACAATTTGTTCTAAAAAATGAAGTTGCTTGTACTATTCTTGCCAATTTTTATCGATTTCAGGAGGTAGAGTATCGTCCGAATCAATTTTCAATAGCCAAAGTTTTTGGAACATGATTTTGATCATGAATGAGGACAGCTATCCGAAAGGATCGAAAATTCTTGAAGTAGCTTGCAATAAAGTTCGCTTTGTACGAGGATCAGAAATTATAAAATTAAAAATGTCTCCAGTTTTAAAATTAAAACAGTCATTCGATAAGTCCCACTTCGATCCAAGAACTTTTACTTCTTCGGTTCCATTAGCTCGAACTTCTGAGCCATATATTTTTCTTGAGTTGGATTTCCACTTCACGAGATTCATGGAGGCTTGCTTCTTGCTGTACTTGCGATGCTTCCTCTACAGAATTCGTTGAATACACAAGATCATCAACATACATGCAAGAATTTAACAGCTTAGTTGTCATGGGATATATGTTTAGAAATTTCTTCAAGTGATGACGTATAGTTGCTGCTAGTAAAAAGGGGCTTGATGTTGCTCCAAACATCACACGAGTCATTCTGTAAATTTCAAATTTTGTATAGGTCAACTTAAGCGTCTTCTGAAATCCATAAAAATCTTAAGGTATCATGATCTTCTGGTGGAATTGAAATTTGTAAAAAAGCCTTTTGAATGTCGGCAATTGCAGCAATTTCACCTTTACGAAAATTCAATAAAACTATCAGTAAATCAAGAACTAAGTTAGGTCCTTGCAATAAACAATCATTCAAAGAATGATGACCTTTTTCTCTAGATAAGCATCATAGACTAAATGCAGTTTTGCTGTGGAAAGAATGATCTTCTCTAATTACAGTCCAATGAGGAACATAATAAGTTTTCTTTGAGTTAAAAGCATTCTTTTCTGTTTTTTTTTCTATTATTCCTTCCTCCAGTTGTTCATTTATTACGCTTTTATACTGTTCAAAAAAGTATGGATTAGACCGAAAATCTCTTGATAAATTTTTTTATTCGGTTTTCAGCATTATGAAAATTATCATGTAAATCAACTACATACCCTCCAACAGCTACGGATTTTCCGTAGTTTCTACGGAAATTGGAGGTAAACTACGGAGCTACGGGTGAATAGTAAAATACTAAGGATTAAACGAAAGCGCCTGTCCGATCCATCCGCTGTTGTCGTCTTTCAAGCGTGGTGACGCCACTGATTGCGTATCGCCGAAAATGACGTCATGAGTTGTTAGCCTTGGTCAGGAGAAACCACGTGATTATGAAGGGTTACAGATTGGCGGCGCCATTGTAATCAGCCTGAATGCATCTGTTCTTTGAAAAACTGCATTAGTTTTTTGCTTTACACCGTGTGAAGTGAAGGGACTTCAATAAAAATTTTTGAAAACAACTTTGAATTTTGCTGCTCCGGTGTTAAAAGAATTATACGTTTTTGTTTGAAATTTTAGATTATTTTTTATCCAGCTTTTATCGCGTTAGTTTTTAAGTTGTGTATTTTATCAAGTATTATTAAATTTTATTGTGATGGATCCTTATTTGAAAAGATCTAATCAGGATCGGGAGGTTTCTAATGACGATGGATTACGAAAGAAGAGGAAGAATAATCAAAAGTTTAGAGAGGAATATACTAAAAAGTGCCCTTGTTTAGTATCGGGAAAAGAAGGCTTTGTAATTTGGAATTCTCTATTGTCCACGGTGGACTGGATGATTGTCGCCGACACGTGACCGGTCCTAAACATTGTGCTACTGCAAAAGCACAGGTGCATCAGCAACCTTTTAACAATTTTTATTCTTCAAAATTAGAAGAAAATGGTGTGATTAAAGCTGAAGTATTGTTCATACGGTTTTTAATTGAGCACAATATTTCACTATCTGCTTCCGATCATTCTGGCACCTTATTTAAAAAAATGTTCCCAGATTCCGACATCGCAAAAAAGTATGGGTGTGGACATACCAAGACCCAGGCAATAACTGTTTCCACTGCTGAGGGGATAAGAGAGAGTACTCTAAGTAAGCTCAGAACATCATTATTTTCTCTTTCCACTGACGGAAGCAATGACATATTAGATAAAAAGCTATATCCTTTAATTTTTAATTATTATGATGAAGAAAAAGGACAAATCGTATCATCACTGGTTTCTTTATCTGAATCAACTAACAACACTGGTGAGGGAATTTTTCAACTTCTTGATGGAGAGTTTAAAAAATATCTACTGAAGTGGGAGAGTTGCATAGCATTCAGTTCTGATAATGCTAACACAATGGCTGGATGTAATAAAGGTGTTTTGAGCTATATAAAACAGAAGCAACCAAATATAAAATTCATTGGATGCCCTTGTCATTTGGTTCATCTAGCAGCTCAAAAAGCTACAGC